GAAATCATGCACAAGCAGCAAATAACTGCCAATCTCTTAAATAAAGCAACACTTTTCCAATCCTTTTTTCCTTGCTCTTAAATATTAAACATTTAGAGTGTGGAATTTGGGGATTTTTTTGTTTGCTTGTGTTTTGGTGGCTGTTGCTTTGCATTAGTTTGGTTTTGTAATAATTGCTACTGCTCATTTTCCTTGGTGAAACATATTTTTTTAAAAAATATTTTTCTTGTTTTCTTATTACACGGCTATCCCATTTTTCTAATCCCTTTCTCACAAGGCAAATCTTTCTTCTAAAAACTATAGGTGTGTACTCAGTCATTCTACCACCTTCTTTGCCTGGACAGAACTGAATTTTTATTTTTCTAAGTAATTTTTTTTAAAAGTTCATCTTAATTGAGCTGATGCGCAAGCTGGTACCCTGGCTTCGCCGTCTCTTAGACTCGCTTGAAAACAGATAGAGCCTCACCAGCTTTAATTCACCTATCTACAGGAAAAAAAAGCCACAATGAGCCATCTTGGCTAAAGTCAAGTGGTGGAAACTCAATGTTCTGCGAATTGTTACATCCTAAACGCAAATATAAGGCACGACTTTATGAAGATGGTGGCAAATCACCAAAATATAAGCGTAACCCTTTTTCGCAGTTGCACCCAAACCAAGGGGCTTCTGGCATTTACTATCCAGGTACCGCTGAAATGTGAGGTTGTGCATCTGGTGGTGAGTAGATTTTGAAATGATACACTCTCTGGGGCTAATTCCACAAAAGGTTTCATTACTCCATCCCTGCTCTCCTTCTGAATGTGGTGTGTAAGTATGAGGGGCTAAAGTCCCTGCAGCTGCGGCTCCTGGGTCGGGTGCCCCCCAGGCTGCCGGTAGAGTAAAATTTCCTCTGTGTAGCAGGGAAAATCTCAATGCAGAGTGGTTATCCAGGTGCAGGTCTGTTCTGACTGGATAACAAGCAGGAATGTGATGTGTACTTGGCTGTTTAGATTAAAATGCATCACAGGCTCCAGGAACAAGCACACGCCAGTAGTAAAGGCTGTTTAAACCTTTGGGGAAAGCTGTATGTTTAGATTACATTAATTCATAAATATTATACTAAATACCACTTACATTGGACTTAAATGACTTCAAAGATAATGCATTACAGTATGGCTATCCAGAGAGCACTAGTCTTTATGTCTCCCAGTAACTCAGTCTTTGCTGCCTCCTATCCTGCTAGACAAGACCAAAGTTATGAATGGATTGCTGGCTTGCTCATGTGCGATCCACTGTCTGTGTGTGTGTGTGTTAGCCGGCATGGGCATGTATGTGTGTACGTGTATCTGCAGTCACTGCCTCTGTTTGTTTTCCAGGAAATAAAAAGAAGAAAAGAGAAATAAATAAGAAGTGAGAAAGGGGAGTAATCAGACTAGTGGGTGACCTGTTCTCTTCTCCAAGGAAGAGGAAGTCTACTAGAAGGAACAACACTGGCCCTCAGCTCACTTCTGTCGCTACCCCGGGAGCTCGCCTCTCTCCTCTTGAATCAATAGTACAGTGCCTTTCTCCTTGGAGCCTGGAAAAGCAATCTCGCCCCAAGTGTATCTAATGGGGGAGACAAGAAGGCTCCGAGTTAGCCGGGAGGCTTTGCATTAACTGGGTTATCTTCTTTGGGTGTTTCTTCAAGTTGTAATTTGGGGCCTATTTTCTTCCTTTCTCTCCTTGCCCAGCACCCAGACCCATCCCAAAATTGCTTTCTAGTCTCCTGGGAGTGAATTTACCTTTACACTAATTATCCCAGTCCACAGTTGCTATTTGCTGCCTCCCCAGCCCAACAGCCTTTCTCTGATATGGCTGGGTTTGCTCCACAACACCCACCCGCTGCCTCCTCCACATACTCCCAATTTGACTGGAGTAATTGCCTTTTAAGGTTCACTCTACGCATGGCAGGTATTCTATTAACCCTTAGAACTACTTCCTATTTTAGTTACCTGAAATGGCAGATGGCCAACAAATGGAACCCACCTGGAATCTCATGCATTTAATTTTTACTTATTTCCCTTTCCTTTCCTTTCTTCCTTTCTTCTTCCTCTTCTTTTTTTAAACCAATAACCTACGTATTCCATTTGCACTGGAAGCCAGTTTTATCCCAGTACAATTTTATCTCAACTGTATCTCAATATGATTCATTAGAAGTTAGAAATTCAAGAAAGTGAGACCAAAAGCCACAAATATACCCTGAAATCAGGCTTAACAAAGGCATGTTTTTGTCCCTAGCCTCATGTTGTCAATTTAGAAATAGGAAAAATCTAGAAGCCAAATGCAACCCTCACTCCTCAAGCCTCACCATGCTTTTTGACTTAGAAGTAATTAATCACCAATGGCAAGTGAGTAATTTTTTAAGGTGGCCAGAGGCTTATTTTATCAGGATTAGCTAATAAATCAGGCAGCATCACTGAAGGAGGAGTTTGAACTCTTCTCGGACTGAATAAACCAAACCTTGGAAACTGTCTCATTTATTCAGCTCTCTGGGAGCTTCCAGGCACTGTTAGAGACATTGTAGCCCAATCTTGCTCTATAAAAAGCAGAGGGATGGAGAGGCCGGAAGTTTCATAGGAGAGATATACGCTTAGGCTCCGAAGGGTGAGCTGCCAACAACGAGGCACCCAGCATGCGGGAGCCAACGGGCCTGCCTGTTACTGACTAAGCCAGTTTATGGGAAGAATTATTTAGAAAATGAAGTTTTGCTTTCCTAGGAATTCTTACCAGGTATATATATGCGTGCATGTGTGTGTATGCCTACACCGTAACATTCTCTACTTTTCTGATGCAAAAAATAATTCTACCTCTTTGCTATAATATGAGAGAGTCCAAATTACACCAGAAGCAAAGTAATGATATCAGCAAGGGATTGCAAAAAGAAACCAAGGAATATTTTTCAAGTTTATCTTTATTTGAAATAAAGCAACAAATAGAGTGTTCTAATCCAGATCCCATAAAAAACCCAGTTCTTCACAACTGTTTTTTGCCTCTAGTGGGTTCTGATTTTTTAACTTTGAAATCTTAAATCACCATAAGAACTGATCACTAAGATGGGCAAAAGACTTCCCTTCCTATGCCTTTTAATTTTTATTATTACTGTTTTTTAACACTGGGGACATATTAGAATGACAAAGGTTTGATACAAACCTTGACTAGCTTCTAGAGAGCTTGACTAGAAAGGGAAAAACTATAAAGATATGGTTGACTTGAGAAGGAGAGGGAAAAAAGAAAAAAAAAACCCACATTATTTTGAAGACTGTTTCCTCATTCCACCTCTCCAATATCTCTTCCGAACAGACAGACATTTTGGATAAAGGTTGCTTCTCTCTCCATTACAGCCCCCACCCTCACCCCATCCCAGCAAACCTAGTATATTTCCATTCTGTTGTGTTTTTGTGTTAATCAACATGCCATTAACTTTAAGATTTACTCCTCAGCAGGCAAGCTGGAAGATGCTAAAGCCAATACAAACTGCTCGCTGGGACTCCAACTATGAAGAGTTTTGAGCTCTGTTTGGTATTCGGATGAAGGGAGGGCTGGAGAAGGAGGGAGGTTGTGATAGTGAAAACCGCTGCTGCTTAGAAAGCCAGCCAGCTCCGCGCTCTGCACCTAACGTGTTGGAGGATCAGCTCTGTTCATACCCCATTTGTGGCCAAGGATGAGGCTGCTCTGTGTGTGTGTGACTGTGTGTGTGTGCGCGCGTGTGTGTTTCATCTTTAAAACCAGCAGCTCTAACACAGCATCTTCGGAAGCTCTCCACGCTACTGTTTATTAAAAAAACAGAACGTCCATACACATCCCCTATAACTTCCTTAGCCCAGTGCTCCTTCCATGCCTGGCGATCAATCTCTCTCAGAAAGCATTTAACTTGCCCACACAGCTCCAACACCGATTAATCCCCGCTGCACATCCTATACATTACTGTTAGGAGCAGAGCACTGGGCTAATTTTGTCACCCACCAGCCACCCACACACGTTCTACAACCGAACACGTTTGGGGCTCTGCCTTAAAGATAATAAAACAAGCAGAAAACAGGCAGGCTGCAGACAATTCCCATGATCACTTTCCTAAAAAGTTGCTGGGTTTTAATTCTTTGGTTATTCTGTTTTCTCCCTCCCCCAAGCACTCACTATCAATGATTGCTTCAAGGGAGAGAAATAATATACTATAAAGCTCTCTGCATGGTGAGTTTGGGATAAATTAGGGTATACCCTTCAAATGCATATCTTGCACACGGATTCTTTTCCAAAGCCCTGATTTTCTGGGAAGTGCACCAGCCAGGCTGCCCCGATCCCCACTCCACCCAGGGGATGGCTGGTTCTTTGATAATTCTTGCTTTGGGTTTTGTCACTCCTTGCTTCAAACAATCCTCCCAACCCTTCTCCCTCCCCCCCATCACCACAACGAGATGATTGAGACACACAGCTCGACAGGGAGAGTTTACTGTTAAATGGATAGCGAAATAAAAATATCCCTTTGAATTTGTCACCTCTCTCCCTTTTACAGGGCTGTGCTCCCGCTGCTCTGGCCCAGAGGTGAGGAGGAGGAGACCATCTCCTATTAGTATTTTCAGCACCACGGCGATGGACAGCACCCTCGCTCCCCGGCCCGCCGAGCGCCAGCCAGTCCGCTCAGCGTCCCGGGCTCGGCCGGTACAGCCGTCCCCATCCCAATGTTTCAAGTCGCTCTCCCCACAAAACCCAAGCTCAGTTTCTCCTCGATCCTCTTTCTCTCTTTCCCTTCATCTTCTGCGCCCACTGCTCTCCCCACGGCACCGCTCCTATTAGCTCTTCGCCCAAAACACAGCCTTGCCCCGCAGCTCCCCACGCACCCCAGCCCTGGGCTCCGCTGCCCGCGCGCCTCCCTCCTCGGCGCCCGCCCGAGGCTCCCTCTCGCGCCGTCTCCCGCTCGTTTGTCGCGGGCCGGCCAGCCCGCCAGCCCGCTCCTTCTCCTCGGCAAAGTTGGGTGGGAAAGGTGCACTCACCTTTGTGCATGCCTGTGAACCTGTCCTTCAGGACCGTGAGCTCATAGATCTTGCCGAACTCCTCGAAGAGGGGCTTGAGGTCCTTCTCATCCAGGTTGCGGGGGATCTGCCCAATGAACAGCTTGATGGCATCGTGGTCCTTCATGGGAATGGTCGACGGGTTCCCCGGACTGTGGCTTAATCCGTTCATGTGCCCGGCGCTGCCCGGGCTGCTGCCGAGCCCGTTGGTACTGAGGCTCGCGTTGTCAGCCTGTCCGTTTGCTAACGTGGCCATCTTTATATACATAGAGAAAATCTTCTTTCCTTTTATTCTTTCTCGCTCGCACTCTCTCGCTCCTCTCCCTCGCTCGCTCGCTCGCGCTCACACACGCACACGCATGCACACACTCGGGTTCTCTCCCCCTCGGTTTCTCTACACCTCGCTCTCCTCTCTCTCTGCTCTTTCTCCTCTCTTCTCTCGCTCGCTCGCGCTCGCGCGCTCTCTCCTCTCCACCCCCCCTCTCTCCCTCTCCTCTCTCTCTCTCTCTCCCTAGGTCTGATCTGATTTTTTTTTTACATTGAACAGACAGGATCTCTGTCCTTTCCGTTTAAACAGGCTGGACCGGTTCAAGTTCCCAGCCAGACCGGGGGTGGGGGCGGCGAGTGTGCGCGCACGGAGGCGAGGGGCGCAGGGCCGCAAGAGGGCGCGACGGGGGGCTCC